TTGTTAAAACTTTACCTTGTATACCAAATATACTACCTAACCCATTTTCTGTTATTTTTGGTGTGGTTTACAGGTATTATTTTCAGTGTAGATTTTACTTAAATTCCATGTTTTTAAGCCACTGTAGTCAACTTATAAAAGTTACTTATCAAGCTAAAATACAGTGGAATAAAATTACACTTAAAGTAATTTAATTCCCTTAACACAAATTATTAATATGTATGCAAATATAAAGAATAGGTGCTTAACTCAAGGACAATGTAAATAAAAGCAATTTTGCTTGTGCTTTAGGTTTGCTTTATATTCAAGTCCTGTGGGAACACTGCCAGAAATGCTGTTTCCCACAAGGGTTACAACACTTAGGAGAAAATAATTACAGTTAATTTAGATTTTGACTGTTTGCACTTTTATTTTTATTTGAACAAAACTGTTGGTAAAGCCTTGTATTTAACCATTATTCTAGATTTATAAAACTGGATCTTTTAGAAATTATGTTATGTTAAAGGCATCCAAATTGGTCTATAAAATACTAGCTTATCTTCTTACCAGAGAAGGCTCCGAGGAAGCCTGGTATTATTAAATACCTACCTTTCTGGTATTTAATTTCTAAGTGATTAAAGCTTTGAAAATTGTTGTTGTTGCAGAGCAGAAAACATTAAAATATTTTCAGTTTCACTGATGCTTTTATCCACATTTACATCCAGCACTTAGATACATTATGATATGCACAGTTATCACAGGGACAGTTTGCATTATTTATGTGGCTTTTAGTTTATAATGAGGTTAATTATGCACAAATGCATAATATATACAGGAATGTAGGTGCATTTGCAACAATGCTGACTATACCTCATTTCCACCTGAAAGACAATGACAAGTGTTATGAAGTAAAAAGAAAAATCTAAGAGAAAGTACTTCTACTTGAAACAGAAAACACCTAAGATATGGTGTTCTATACATAATCTGCATTTTTATTGAGATAGTTCGTATTCATGTAGTTTCTCAACAATCTGTAAGCAAACTCTAACATCCAGTATGTTTCAAAGTACCTGTCATTTCCATATAAGCAAAAAGGCCTGAGAAAAAAATGTTGGGTATTATACCATGAATGAGGCAATATAGAGGGGGCCTTGAAATTATGTCTACTAGAGTGGGGGGAAATCTTCACACACCATTTCTCAATTATAGTGCAACAGAAAACCGTATTTTTATATTTTTTAATTTTATTAAAAAA